AATGACACTGATAAATGCAAAAACAAAAAAGAAAAGAAGTAGGGCACTTCCTGGTGGCGCAACTGGTTAAAGCACAGCACTATAAAGTGATCCACAGCCACTGCAACAAGAGTTCAATTCCCAGCCAGGGAGCTGACCCACATGGTGTAGCAGACCTCGACTGACCAGACCAGCCCACTGCTCCCTTCAGCAGTGTTAAATTCCGTCAATCTGCCTGCTCTGCTTCCCACTCTGTCTCTGGTGAACCCTCTCATACCCTGTACATCTGGCCTGTACCCCAGTTCTTGTATGCATAAATAAATCTTTAAAAATAGTTAACCTATAAATAAAAAATCTGCATTTTTTAAAAAATTCTCTTTGATAAATGTCAAGGTTCCCCATTATGCGGATTTTGGGTATCAGCAGCCCCAGGCACAACACCATCTTTCTCTAGAACGCCTCCCAAACATATGAAAGTCAGAATAAACTAGTTGCTTCCATTGGATAGTGAAAGGAACCAGTGGAGACTTCAAAAGATATGGGTATCCCCAGCAATCACAAAAGATAAACACATACCTTTTGCAGCAACATGGATGGAGCTGGAAGGGATAGTGAAATAAGCCAGAAAGAAAAAGAAAAATACCGGATGGTTTCACTCATAGCAGGAGCATAAAGGGCCGGGGGAAATAATAACAAACAATTATATACCAGAGACATTTTACGGGGGGGTGGGGGAGGTTGGGGAATGGGATCAAAAGCGGTGGAGGGAGGAAGTGCACTGGACTATGGTGATGGCACACGGGTGATTTGGTGATGGGAAACCCAAGGGAATTACAGATGAGATGGAAAAAAGCAAAAATAATGTAAAAACATACTATTCTAATAAATTTAAAATAAAATTTAAAAAATCCCAACTTTGTACTTATGGTTTATAAGTCAAATGCTCTTTGAACACAGGACAGTGGGACATGAAAATAAAGTGGCTGGAGGTAAGGGGTAAGGCGGGATGATGGCAGAGACATTCTTAAAGAGAAACAGGGAGGTGGTGGGAAGGGATGAACAGGAGTGAAATGTGGCGTGGAGGGACTTTAAAGCCTGAGGGGCCAAGAACAGTTGAGGCTTTTCTGAGGTGCCGAGATGTGTGCTAAATTTACCACTCAGACTTTCGGTGATTACCTGTGTGCATACCCTCGGAGGCATGGCAAGAGCTCACTTAAGATTCTTTGTAGCAGGCAGAGCAACCTGCAGTAATACTATTTCCAGTACCCTTTCTTCAGAAGCGGTAAGACTAAAAGTGTGGCCACTGCCCTAAAGGTCTCCCAGTCCACATGTTATAGGAGATCAGGACTCTGTTGGCCAAACACACCAGGCTAAAAAGGGACAGGGAGGAGCTTCTGAAATACACCAACACTTGAGTTAGGCAAGCAGAGAAGTGGTACCGAACATGAAAAGCATTCATTTACTTTTGTTCATTTACTTAATCCATTTTCATTTGTGATCATTACCTGGAAAATCTTTCAAGGAATGGGAACCTGTCCTTACTGCCAATGTTTTTATTATACTCAAGTAAAAAGACAAATAAACCCATCCAATCTTAGTGTCTAGGTAAGTGAACCAAAAGAAACATACAAGCAAAAACTACAATTCACCTATGGCTGAAGTGGGCAATGCACTTATAACTTTTTCTAATTGTGAACATCTTCTTGACCTACTTATATCACAGTAAAATGTTTTTGAAAATTTTCAAAAAGATTATATTTCACTAACTTGAAATATGTGTGCATGTTTAGCATAAATTATACCTGGCAGTTATTAACATAATGAGGCTGCTAGACCTGCAAAATTTTATTTTTCATTAAATTTGTTGAAACATGCTGGGTTTCTTCCAGTGTTGCCAGTGAGGGCAGTAAAAGACATCATTACACCAATGTGGTCTTACGATGGATTACTGAAAAGATAGTTTAGGCCAAGAATAAGTCCAGAAATCTCACTGTGCAAAGATTAATAAAATTCCATCTA